GCTTTCACCGCGTGGTATGTTACAATATCTTTATAAATTATGGCCTATGTGTAATTCTGATGTGGATTTGTTATAAGTTATATAATTGCTAAGTTTCATCTAAACCCTTTTAGTAGTTTTCGCGTATAAGAGTAATTACCATCTGCCCATCTAAACAAACTTCCACATTATTTATATTAGTAAATAAGATTATTGTTCAGAGGTACTCACCTGCATTAACCCAAGTTTCGTCTAAATAATATATTGATCGCCCTTCTTCTCTGTACTTCTTTATAGTTTAAGGTACTTGATGCGCCACAAAACTAAGTCGTGCCATTCGATTATAGCGCTGTTCCTTTTTTTTGATATTTAAATTTTTTAACAGGCGCCAAAGTGATACACGGCTAAAATTTGGTAACATGTCATCTGAATTTATTTATTTAAAAAGTTACACCAACAGTACATGTATACATATTATAAAAGTTACATTTTAGGGCACAATTCCTTATACACATACCTATTATAGGCGTACATGACATTGATAGGATATATTAAATAACAACAAATTTAAACAACGAGTCATGGAAAATGTCTAATATTTGAATATTAATCTCGTTGTACTGTGCGCAACATCTGGCGAGAGGAGAATAGCGTCCGAGGTTAGTTAGGCCTTATAGAAGGCAAGTCAAAAGTTTTTTTGATAGATGTCGAGGTATGCAAGCAGGCATGGTCAATTTAACACATTCCAGGAATTCACTACATTTTATTTTACCATTGACAAATCCGTACAGAAACACCAATTCCTAGTCTCTTCGACGGCTACGCTACGACTTCATTAAAAAAAATGCAAGATGATGCTCAAATGGTGACCGGCATGACACACCCTGCGAAATAAATGCTATATGCCTAGTGAATGCACGCTGAACACCCTCCAAGTGTTGAGAGTGAACAGTATATACAAGGGTCCATGCCACGCTAGCGTACTCCAAGTTACTTCGGACCAAAGCATTATATAATATTTTATGGGTGCAATTTAAACGAAAACCCACAGTATTTCCCCTAAGGAAACCTAGCATTTTCGAGGATTTGTGACAATGTTATTAATATGTGAAAATAATTTAAGGTGCTTGTCCACTGTTACACTAAGTCTCTTATTTCTTCTACTTCAGTTAATGTTGAGCCGTTAATTTCATAAGTGGATGGGAAATGATTTTTCTTTTTTGTAAATTTGATATGGTAGCATTTATCAACGTTCAGGGTAATAACATTTGATTCACACCATGTGTGAATACTGTTTAAGTCCCCCATGGATAAGTTTCATGCCATGGGAAGAATTGACCACCCTGTAAATTTTCGCTATATCGTCGATAAATATAAGAAATAGTATTGGGCCTAAGTGAGAGCCCTGTGGGACTCCCGATGCAAAATATACGTCTGACTCAAACTCCCAATAGCAACAACCTGGGGTCTCATACTGAGGTAAGACCTAAATCAGTGACGTAAAATACCATGTATCCCTTTCATTCGCAATTTCATTAAAAGTAGTGCGTGATTTACTTTATCAAAAGCACTGGTAAAATCTGTATATACAGCATCAATTTGACTTCCACTATCCACCCTCAGTGCATTTTCAGAAATAAATGAGATTAGTCTGTGTCGAGCGACCCCAGCGGAACCCATGCTGGTACTCGGATAGTGGAGTATCTATGTGGCTAATTATTAGTAGATTAATCAGAGACTCAAACAATTTAGAAAAAGTATACAAAATGAAAATCGGCTGGTAGGTTTTTACGTTGCTTGTTTTCCCTTTTTGTAAATAGGTAATATTTTTGCTAATTAGATAGATAGATAGATAAAACGTTTATTTGTATCTCCAATCACACACGTAAATTCAATGATTAAACTAGATATACAATCAAAGTGTTATGGAAAAAATATACATAAACTTATGATCTAAATATACATGTGTGTTGCAGTTAAACAAATGGGTCATAGCTCAGCGATTAATATTGCTCAGAGAGCAAACACTGATTTTCAGCTATTACCCTCGAGGTGGCGAGAAGAAAATGAGCACAATAGTGCAATCAGAAAGAAATAAGGAAAAAACTATTTTTTTGCACGTTAATATTATTGTAGTGTAATTATGTCTGAAAGATGTGTCCTTTCAGCTCTATGATTTATATCTTGGGTTTAATTTAGTAAAAAAATTACGGAAAAGATGTGTAAGGCTGCGACCCAATTAAAGCTAGTACCTAAATGACTTAAAAACCATGATGAGTTAGTAAAAGGAAAAAGAAAAAAAAAAAGAAAATAATATGCCATGGTTTATAGCTGGCAAACGAAGTGTTTGGGAATACCTTGTTTTTTTTATCTAGAAGATATGTTTTGAATCTATTTTTAAACTTGTAGTTGGTGTTAAGATTTCTTATTGGTGGTGGGATGTTATTCCAACACTTCGTTGCCATATATCGGAAACTGCCGGTAAATGCCGCTGTTTTATGGCTGTAATATAGGAGTGCTAATCTTGTGGATCTCAATTGTTTTCCAGAATTTGCTTGCTTAGCAAACTTTATCTTTGCATGCAAGTACTGTGGTTTCTTAAACTTAATAATACTAAAGACTAGTCCCCCTAAAGGGCATGGAAGCATTGTTCAGAAAGGGTGTAATGTGATTTCTGGGAGGTACATCAAAACAGAACCGACAACATGCATTTTGCACGCGTTGTATTAGTCGCTTTGTTTTGCTGAAAATCCGTGGTCTATAAACAATATCCCCGTAGTTGAGCCTAGACAAAACCAATGACTCGCAAAGAGTAATGCGTGATGGCACAGAAAGTTGGTCACGGATTTGGTATAAAACCTTTAGGTGATAAAAACAGTTTTTTACCATATTAAGGATATGATTTTCAAATCTGAGATTAGTGTCGAAGGTAATGCCAAGGTTTTTGGCTTCATCCACGCGCATTATATGTTTACCATGAATCTTAACATCTAGGTCACCACGAATTCTATTTATTTGCGTCTTTGTGCCCATGACCATATATTTTGACTTTGAAGGGTTTAAAACAAGGACGTTTCTTATTGACCAGTCAGCAATTCTGTCCAAGTCCTCATTAAGCCGTGTGACAGCTTGTGGTAACTTATCTGGTAAGTTCGACACGTATATTTGCACATCATCAGCGTAGCAGTGGTACGTAGAATACTTTATAACTTTGACAAGATCAGCGCAGTAAATTATAAAAAGAAGTAGACCAAGTATTGAACCCTGAGGAACACCACGATTAATAAGCCTTGGGTGAGAACTTACTATAGACCCATCACTTTTTACCAATTTTACTTATTGGTACCGATTATTCAAGTAACTACTGAACCACTTGACCGAATTTTTGTCTAAGCCATAATATGACAGATTAACAAGCAGTAGGTGAATATTTAGGTAGTCGAAAGTGCGGGAATAGTTTAATAGCGTTAGAATCGTACTGTGTCCGGAATCTCGTTCAGCTAATATATTGTCTGTGACATCGAGTAAAGCAGTCGATGTGCGACGTCCTTTGCGAAACCCAGATTGTAAATGAGGCAAGATGTTGGTCGTTTCAACAAATTTTGTCAACTGTTCGCAAATAGCTTTATCCAGCAGTTTCGCAAGGAATGGCAAAATGCTGATGGGCCTAAGATCTTTTAATTCGATCGGGTTTTCATTTTTGGGTATTGGGGTCACTAGTGCCTCCTTCCACTTATCAGGAACTATACCCGTCATAATTGACTTATTAATTATAGCCGTGATTGTATCCAGAGTGCAAGGAAGAGAGAGTAATATCATATCTCTGCTAATTCCATCGTGTCCAACAGCATTCGATTTTATGGACATTATATATTTAGAAATATCTGTTGATTCTACGGGAGCTAATTTAAATAACTCTGTACGGAATTTGTTATGTTCAAAAAATATTATATTTGCATTGGAAACTACATTGTCTCCCGGAATATTCAAGAAATGATCATTAATTTTGTTTGGGTCATTGAAATAGGGAGGCAAGGATTTGTCTTTCGAGGGGTCAACCAAAATTTATTCCTTCAAATTTTTCCAAAATGTTTAGCTATTTTTAGCTTATTTTTATGATGGCATAAACGGAAAATTTTTTCTATTTCTTAAACTGAAATATCTGTGGAATGTTTTCCTGATAATGAAGATGCTTGGAAATTATTTTGTTTGAGTAATCACACATTACATAAAAAAATAATTACATAACAACTGTTACTGGGCACTATAATTAGTAATTTATTGTAAAAAAGGGTTTGATATTGTTAAAAGCCTTAGGAATTAAATTAATAAAATGGAGCAGACTTCGTCTTCAGCGTCTTAGAAAAGTTTAGCTTATATATATTTTCTCAATGTTTTTTATAGAATAAGAGTGACATACGAGCACACAGTCCACCTGATGGTAAATGGATGCTGTGGCCCATAGACATCTACATTTATTCTCAATTAAGAATCAAAACCCAGATGCCTTGTCACCCCTGAGGACTAAGATGGAATTCCTCGTCTCCGGTAAAAGAGGGTCTCTGGATCTTTACACTCACCGTACGAAACATAGCAGTATTAAGCTACTATTTTACGCTGGTATTCTGTGAGAGCGTGTTTCTTCCCGGTCGAGTCAACCCTTTCGTGCTACAACCATAATATAACTGCAGCATGGCTCTACCACGTACAAAAGGTTAGGAAAGGTTTAAGGTATCATCCCCTTCAGGCTTTGCACCCATATTCCACTCTATATGATTATAGCCAAAACATTAGGACGGTAGCAGGACGAAATAACGGTCACGCAATCTCTAAACTACAGGACACGGTATTCAAGCACATTGTCATTTTTCAAAAGAAACACACACGCCTACGATATAAAAAAAAACATAAAAATCAAAAAATTAAACAAGGTAATGGTTGATTCGTTTGCCCACCAGCCATACCAGTAAAACATGCCAAAATTCACGTATGCTTATAAATCTATTTACCTTTCCTTTTAGATACATTCCACAGGGGTATCGCATTCAGCGGCTCCGCGTTCTCCTCGTGGACGCATGCCATGAAGCCAGTGGAGAAGGCGCGCAGCCTCGCCGCCATTGTGGGATGCCCCACCGCCAACACGAAAGAGATGGCCGACTGCTTGAAGTACAGGCCGGCTGAAGTCCTCGTCAATGCACAAATCGAGATGTTTGTGAGTTCAATTCATTCTCATTATTTATATAGAAAGAAAGAATGCATTTATTTACTGCTTCAACTTGCAGAACAACAATTTTACAAACAAAAATACTTAGGTAACTAAATGTTTTTCATTATATATAATATTTTGCATAATATAAACTAAAACATTCGATCAAAAGGAAATCCTGACTGCAGCATCAGCTAATCATTAAGTTATGTTTTCCCGTCCAATTTCATCATTATATATACGTTATAGTATCTAGCCTCAAAGTGCATATCGAATTCCAAGATGAAACTAGTAACAAAAAGTTTAGTATTGTTACGAGCTTGAGGTTCGTGACAATAAAAATTGCCGATAAAATTACCTAAATTAACACTTTAATTTTCTTTACACCAATTAAAACTTAAAACACTAAAAATTTATCACGCTGATTCACTTTATTCCGCTCCGAAGCTTCGCTTGTCTCGCCAAATCCAATACTTCCACGATCGCACCTTGCAACGCCTATAAATACACATTAGTACCGAATCATCCAGAACATTCAAGTAAATACGCGCACCGATCGACAAACCGCCGAAAGTTCGAAAGTCAGCTTCCAGAAGCTTAGTTCTTCTGTTCGATACTAGATGGCGCTAGTGCCGTCGACTTCGGTGCGTAATACTGCCCCCTCCTAAGACATGCTCGTCCCGAGCATTATCGGCCCCATAATATCGCGCCAGGCGATCCACATGGACGATGTTAGGAGTCCCTCTTGCACCTTTCTGTAACGGCTCCGCAATGTCAAGGGCTGTCCTATCCCATGGTGCACCAACATTGTACCATTTCGGTGCTCCTCTACTACGTGTCTGAGGTCCCCGCACGGCCGCACAACTTGTACATGTACGACACCAAGCCTCGACATCGTCACGATAATGGACCCAGTAAAACTGTTCTCGGACCTTCAGCAGAGTTCGTTTAACTCCCAGATGGACTCTTGAACGACCATTATGGAACAGCTGTAGAACATTCGGCACTTTAGCCTTAGGGAAAACCATTTGCAAACGACAGCTGTCTCCTCGACCACTGTCCCATTTACGGCACAGGACTGCATCCTGAATCAGCAAGCCGTCCCACTGGGCCCAATAGCCTCTAGTGGTCGAACTCATCGCTGAGACGTCGCTCCACTTAGGCTTGGTAGCACGGGCCTTCATCCATTCCAGAATCGGCTTGATGTCCGGATCTTCCTGCTGTGCATGTCGTAGGCTGTCCTTCCACTCGTTGCTGAAGTGGTCTGTCCTGAGCATCCTCACGGATACCACTTCCTTACTCTCTCGCCTAGTACAATGCTTCCAATCTTCAGGACAAGGTCTTCTTGACAATGCATCTGCGTTGCTATGAGATTTCCCGCTGCGATGTCTGATAGTAAAGTCGTATCCCGGCTGCTGCTGGGCGGTGATGTTAGCCGCACTTCCCTTCTGAGATTGTTCACCTTTCCTTTCTAGGGTTCGCTTAGGGCAGCTGGATCGAAGATGGCCCCTTTTTCCACAGCCATAGCACCTAGGGCTGTATCCTTTATTGTGGTCGCGAACCGTAACTGCTGCAACCTCCCTAGCGTGAGGGGAATGATGTTGCTGCCACCGCCAGGCGGTGCCGTTAGCTGCACTACCCTCTCGAGATCGATCAACTTCCCTTTCTTCAGTTCGCTTAGGGCAGCTGGATCGTAGATGGCCCTTTTCCCCACAACCATAGCACCTAGGGCTGAATCCTTTGTTGCGGTCGCGAACTGTAGCTGCTGCGGTCTCCCTGACGCGATGGGAACGATGATCCTGCCGCACGGCTTCCACCTCCAGTGCATGGGCCAAGGCGTCCTTAAGTGTCTCGTGGTGCCCGAGCCTTACAGCAGCTCTGACTTCCAGGTCGCGGATTCCGTCGATGAATGTCTATACCAGGTTCCCTTCAATGAGCGCAGGTACAGACTGGTGTGCTTTTCGAACCATCTTCTCCACCTCAAGGGCTCACTCTGCAGGTTTTCGTTGCTGCGTTGTACGCGATCTTTAAGCTGCGCGCGAAAGACGTGTTCCAGGTGAGCGTCACCATATCTCGCCTCCAATGCCCCAAGGAGCTGCTCGTAGGTCACTTTCTTACCGAGAGCTTCCAACACAGTTAAGGCTTGGTCGCGCAGGCCTAAGGTGAGTGCAGTCATGGCCTGGCTTTTATTCCAGCCGTTTGCCTCCATGACGGCCTCGAACTGGATTTTGTAGGCCGACCAGGAAGAAGTCCCGTCGAACGGTGGTACCTTGAACCCACGTAGCGAAGGTGTAGTAGCTACTGCGGGGGCTGCAATTCCATCTCCAAGTTTGAGTTCATCCAGCGTTTTCTTAACTTGGTTGATTTGGGTCTCAGCTTCCGACAGGCGGTTATCATGTTGAGCAACCTTATCCTTCACCTCCCTTATCTCTTTCCCGAAGGTAGCGTGAAGGTCCTTCATGAGAAGCATCTGCTCTTCCCTATCGCGTTTGAGCTGCTCTTCTAAGCGACGGGCCTGTTCCTCCTGTCGGCGGGCCTGTTCCTCCTGTCGGCGGGCCTGTTCCTCCTGCTGCTCTTTCAACTGACTGGCCTGTTCCTCCTGTCCGCGCTTCAGCTGCTCTTCGAACCGACGAGCCTGTTTCTCCTGTCGGCGGGCCTGCTCCTGCAGCATCACCATCAGGGCGCCTAAATCAGGTGCTGCAGATGCAGGAGCTACTGACGGACCGGCCTCCGTTGCCGGCGGCTGGCCCTCCGACGTCTGCGGCGTTGCACCACCAAATCTACTCTGGTCCGTCTCATGCTGGCGTTGACTGCGGGTACGAACACCCTCCGTTTCCTCCTTAGGTAAAATCGGCATGATTTTATCCCACTTCTGACACAAATTGTTACGAGCTTGAGGTTCGTGACAATAAAAATTGCCTATAAAATTACCTAAATTAACACTTTAATTTTCTTTACACCAATTAAAACTTAAAACACTAAAAATTTATCACGCTGATTCACTTTATTCCGCTCCGAAGCTTCGCTTGTCTCGCCAAATCCAATACTTCCACGATCGCACCTTGCAACGCCTATAAATACACATTAGTACCGAATCATCCAGAACATTCAAGTAAATACGCGCACCGATCGACAAACCGCCGAAAGTTCGAAAGTCAGCTTCCAGAAGCTTAGTTCTTCTGTTCGATACTAGATGGCGCTAGTGCCGTCGACTTCGGTGCGTAACAGTATCATAGTTTAGACTCAGAACTTGGTCTTCCACGGGATGATATGAAGTAGTGAATTCAGTATGCGAATGAAGTGCAAGTGAAAAATCTGGAATTCTGTGGTGTGCAAGATGATGTTTTGACCAGGATTAAGAAAGAAATGTTTCGGTGGTTTGGTCGTGTAGAATGTATAAATGAGGAAAGAGTGACAAAGTAAATGAGATGGCCAAAATATGCCCCAAGCTGTACAAATATAAGACTATTGCTATTAATTTAAATTAAATAAAAAAAGAATTTTGAATAACTATTAACATTTCATAGCAGCTGTTGAAAAATAATCAAGTTTAAAAGTATTTAAAGTGATTTCTTCTCTTTGACGTCACTCTATAGCACCGTTAATGTGACCATATAGTACTTAAAAAGATCAGAGTAGGGAAAAACAATAGCTAAACTCATAAAAATAATTTAAGATATCTTTAAGATTTGAAGAGAAGGAAAAATTGAACCATTAAAATGATGGGAGGAACGGCGTTGACGGTAAATTTATCCAACCGACGCGACGGGAGCTACCTACTATTATTGCCTGCCAGTATAAAGGTTTAACAACGACACTAAACCTTTAGAGTTAGTTTAGTATATTAGCTTAGTTATAGTTTGAGTAAAAGACAATAATATGTCTGTGCATATATTTGCAAATCGTTTGCATAAAGATGGTAAGAACAGTTGATATAACATGTGATAAGAGATAGAAAAGAATAGGCGAAAGGATATCACCTTGTGGTACGCCAGCATCCAATACACAGCAATGAGAAGTACTCTCTCTGATACGAACTGCCTGCTAGTGATCCCGAATACGAGTATATGAAGAAAATCAATCTGAGGTCAATGAGAGAAAATACAGTGCTCCAGGACGTCAAGAATGACGGTCAGGATTTATAGAACTGAAGGCGTTAAAAAAGTCAATATGTGAACACAATACATACATACATATAAATCTACATATAAAGTATATCTAGTCCTCATAGGCCATACTCATTCCAAAGTCATTTACGATTTTATGAAGAGCTGTCGTTGTTTGTACAAAATTCTGAAATAACTCTTCTTCTTAAAAAAATCGGTTTTGGAAAACAAAATTAGACATTTGTTTATAAAAAATTGCTTCTAAAATTCTGGACATTGTTGGAAGGATGGAGTTATCAATATAAGAAAGGACGGTAGAGTTAAGAGATAATTTATGTTATGTGTGTTAATGGGAATTCTAAGTATTCACAGAGTAAAAAAATTCATTTTTATTGACGTGATAAGAATTTACTAATTTATTATACTAACGCAAATACTATTCAATGAATAAAAATAATTTTAGCGAGTGTACCGGGTGTTAATTTATGTAACATTTTTAGTGATTGTAAACTGCTCTTTATTTATAAAAAAAAAATTACGGTTGGGTTTTTTTGCTCGTTCTTCCCAGGACTGAGATATTGCAGTGATAGATAGTGAGACAGTGCAGTGATTAATTAAGTACAAAAGTGACTTTCAATGATAATGGTTTATAATCTATATTGAATAACAAAGTATCGATTTCTATTTTTTGTACTCCCGACATTTCGTGCGTGTTTTTGCTATACCTATCATAGAGTATGTGACCACCACAATACAATACGGAATATCAAAAATGAAAATTTTATTATATTATAATAAATTCACCCAAAGTGACGCAATTAATAAAGTACATATTACAAAGTATAAAGTAATTAATTGAATGTTTTTATATTTCACAGGAATGGAAGGTCCATTTGTTTACGCCGTTTACACCAACGCGTGAGGCACCAAACGTAAAGAACCCATTCATAACGCAGTATCCCTACCACGTAGTCCAAGCCGGTGGTATGCAGAAACTTCCACTCATCACCACTGTCACATCCGAGGAAGGGCTGTACCCAGCTGCAGGTATTTTTTTTGTTTCCTTTAACAATACAATATCCATCAGTATCTTTCGGTTACCGTTACAACCTATTAAAGTCCACTGCTGAATATAGGCCTACCCCACTTCGAAACTGTGCCGGTTCCAATTCTTAATGACAACTAATTACAGCCAACATGTGGATAGCTCCAAAAACTCGTGGACATTGACCTTGGTATTGGTCTCTTTCGAATTTTTTTTTATAGGAGAGAGGGCAAACGAGCATACAGTTCACCTCATGGTGAGTGAATACCGTCGCACATGAACAACTGCAACACCAGGGGAATAGAAAATGCGTTGGCGGCCTTTTAAAAAGGAGTAGGCTCTTTTCTTGAAGGTTCCTAAATCGTATCGGTCCAGAAAAATCTCTGGTGGTTTTCAATTCTACAAGGAAGAAAACTTCTTTTAAATCGCACGGTTGTGGACCGCCAGTCATCTAGATGGTATGAGTGGTATTTCGATTTTTGTCGTGATGTGCGATGGTGAAATTGAGCGGCTGGAATTAGTCCGAACAATCCCTCAGAGCACTCCCCCGTTGTAGGTGCGACAAATACGCAAAGAGATGCAACATCCCTTCGCAGTGCCAGTGAGCCAAGCCGATCGGAAAGAAGTCAGTCCAACGATTCGAACTGCTCTGCGCTGGATGCAATCAAATGGAAGGAGTTGGCACTTAGTAGCCCCCGCTCAGAGATGGGGACAGTATTTCATGTGCGGCCGAATATGCGCCTTGTAAAGCTACAGGTGGCGAGCCAGCATGAAATACTGTCTCGCTTTGCTGAGCACGTCAAGATTTTTAGAGGACAATTTGGCCTTCTCTTCTAAGTGACCACGAAACTGCACGTCACTCTATATGTCGACGCCGAGGATTCCGATACTGGCTGAGGCAACAAGGGGGTGTCTTGAAACTGAGGAGATAGGAAGGGGTTCTTTTTTATGGTAAACGCGCAAATACTTGTGTCTTCTGGGGATTAAATTGGACTAGATTTAGTTACCCCCATTCCGAGATTTTGTGACACAAGTTTGTTCCGGTAATCGGCAATGTTTTCTCAAGAAATGTTGGCACAGCCGGTGTATAAAGCATCACCAGTGCTGTCGTTTGCATAGCAATGAATGTTACCGGTTTGCAATATGTCATAGATATGCAGAAGAAACAGCGTTGGTGATAACATGCAGCCTTGTGGAACACCAGCGTAAATGGACTTGCAATCGGAGTATGCACCATCTACTACGACCTTGATGCTCCGATCTGCAAGAACACTGGTGATCCAATTGCATAATTTCTCGAGAAGCCCATAGGAAGGAAGCTCCGTAAGAAGCGCTTTGTACCAAAGCCAATCAAAGGCCTTTGCAATGTCCAAACTAACGGCCAACGCCTCTTCCTTGGACACTACTGCCCCGCCCATTTATGAGTTAGGTAACCCGAAGACCACCAGCCGAGCAGCTGCGACGGAAACCGAACTGGCGGTCACTAATCAGCTGATGATCCTCAAGGTACTGGTAAGGTGCTGCTGGACGTTAATAATTGATTCCATTATTTTAGAGAATAAGGAGGTGATGGTGATAGGCCTATAGTTAGACGGATCAGAGCAGTTACCTTTTTAATGGAGCGGGTACACGAAGGCTGTCTTCCATGATTTCGAGACTACGCCAAGGGAGTAGAAGTACTGGAAAAGACGCGTTAAACCAGTGCCAACTTAGGAGCACACGTCTTCATCACATTAGAAGGGACACCAATAGGCCCACTCGACTTGTTGATGGCTAGAGAGAGGAGTGCTCTGGGCACCGAGCGTTGAGTAAACAGCGCATCCTGCATGGAGCACTCACACCACGGGATGGTCGACGGTGTATTCCCCCCGTCATCAAGGGTCGAGTTCGACGCAAAGAGAGAGCCCAGCATGTCGGCTTTGTCCTTTGCGGCATGGAACAGTGAGTCGTCCTCCCTGTGCGGAGATGGTAGAGATGGCTGACAAAAGTTACCTTGGTTAGCCTTGGCTAGAGCGCACATGTTCCCGAAGGAAGACGAACTAGTCTCTCGCCAATTCAGCCAACGTGCTCTGACTTTAACTTAACAATGACACTTTAGAAGGACCTGGAGGCAGAATTATACTTCGTTTTAAAAGCGGTGGTATTTAAATTACGAGACGATGTACGAGCCCAGGCCTGGTTGCCCGGCCTCTTGCTTATAACGTAATGTAATTTTGCATGAGCTACCAAACCATGGCTTTGTTCTGCCTCCGATAGGTACCGCAGATTATGGAACAAAAAGTTACATTCCCTGTAGCACCCTGTAGGGATCATTCGGCGAGAAGCAAACCCCCCTCCAAAGGTAGGAATGCAAAAATGCAAAAAAACAATCGCATCCCGTCCCAATCGGCTGACCTATAATGCCAAACACGGTGGCAACCTGCAGTACGCAACCGCGACGGGAGCGTGAGTGGCACCCGCACTCCGGACCAGGTGATGGTAACCGAGGAGCCGAGAGGGTGAGTCAGGACATTGACGGAGACCTGATATCCTTCCGGATGAGAGGTTAGCAGAAGGTCCAACAAGGAAGATACGTGATCTTCCACGTCTGGAATTCACGTAGGCGAGATAACCAGTTATGTCAGACCATATGTCAAAGCAAATTCATAAACAGATCTACCCGCATGATATTTTAAACGAGAACCAGGCCATGCAGCGTGGTGGGCGTTAAAATCACCAAGCATCACGATCTCTGCGAATGGGACCTGTTGTAGCACGGAGTCTGCAGCCATCTAGACGTGGTCGATGAGTCAGTCTTTGTCGGCACTACTGCTATGAGACCTACAGAGGCACTCGTAGACGCGGGAATGGTCGTTGTTGTCTCCGCGCAGCCATGAGATAGATAGGTACGTACCTTCAAGGTTGCCGAGGTGTTGAAAACAGATGTCCTCTCTGACGTACACGTAAACTCCAGCCCGGGGCACAAAGGAGTGTTCTAATTTGTATCCCGGGTAGGAGGGATACGAAGTATCAGTTGAAGAGGACACCTGTGTCTCGGTTGGAAAGAGCAAGGCCGGCTTCACCGTTTCTGTTTTTACGGCGTTAAGGTTTAAATGAAATCCCCTGATGTTGCAGAAATTCACGGATAGCGTGGCATGGGGCGCCTTTGACTTATTGCTCAGTTTGCCCAGAACAGGTTTAGTCTCGAGCGGAATTCCCCCCCCCCATCCCCTCCCTAACAAAACTGCAGGCAAAAGTTAAACAACTGAACAATACAAAACCGACAAAAAGAAAATGAAAGTACTTTAGACGATTTCGGCATTTTATTTTTAGTAGATTTCAATAGAAATGACTACCCGTGGCTATGAGTGCTGGAAAGCACTTGATGCATCAGGAGATCGAAATAAGTTACTTCTTTATTCACTATAAGGAATCTTAATATTTTTTCATTTCTCAGCTTATCAAACAGATCCAACACTACTGAAAGAGTTGGACTCACGGTGGGAACAGCTTGCGAGTAACATCTTCGAGTACAACGACACTCTACCATTAAATCAGCGCTCTGCCGTGGCCGCTAAGATCAAGCAGTATTACATCGGTGAAAAACATATAGATCAAGATACCTTCCGCCAGCTAGTGCAGGTAATAATCAGTTATACTCCACTCCCTAGTAAAAAGAGTGTACCCACCACATCCAGCTTTATTTCGTTTTCTGTATAGCTTTATTTCAACCAGGCAAGTCGTCATTATTTTTTTATATTAGCAATGCTATTCACATTACTAATATTCCCTTTAACCACACCTGGTTAGATTAAAACGCTTGTGCCAGGAGTGTTTCACTGGGTAGTCGAATGACGGATTTGAACCCACGACCTTTTAAGTTCGCGGTCTTCACACTGTCATTAGGCTTCTGTCGCTTCATTATAATGTCAGATTGGATGTTTAGATAACAACAGTAACTGTACGGTAGTTAGCAGAATGTATACATAATAGAATAGAATGTATATACATAACAAATTGTCTGCGAAAACGACACAATAGTTAAACAAACGAAATCTATACATGTAAACGAATAAATAAAATTAAAGTGTTTGTGGCCGAAGTCGCGGAGAACAGCTGGTGTTTATATATAACTCACGGGACAGTGAAATGGTTAATCCTAATTTCCAATCAGTTCAAATATTTTGTACTACTATGCTCGTTGGTTACTAACATCCAGATCGCATGACTTGCGATCTCGCAGAATTTGCAGGCGGCGCGGTACTCGGCTTAGGCGAATTGAGCGAATGAGTGTCAGGCTTTCAGGGTAAGATGTTCGGTTAAATATGAACTTTTTCTACTTTTGGGCCTGGCAAGCCTAGATAGGGGGGATATTTCTAAAACTGAACATTATTTAGAAAAATCCCTCCATTTATTATTACGTGGCAAAAATTTATCAATATCAGAGAAAAATAAAGTAACTTGTAAATAGACGAGAGTTGTGTAAATAACAGATGGATATCTGGTTTAGGTAACTAATCATACGAAATGTGTTACGAGTATGTGTTACCTCAGCGTGACAATGCAAATATATGAGGCTGAGGTATTGTGCCAACTCAAGCATTTTTGTTGATTTACCCAGGTCTAATGCCAGCTGCGGTTATGGATGAAATATTCTTCATATTTTTTATAGATTTCATTGATTCATTCATAACAGCTTGTTAAGTTACATTACTAACTGTATATTATTAGTAAATAACAGTATATGAATCCCAACATAGGCCTCCCTCGTAGATTAAGTGGTAGGGGTATTTGCTATATTTTTCAGTCTTGAAAGGCGGGGCTAGGGTTTCGCAGCGGGTTGGCAATCGTAGTTTTTTATACATTTTTTTTTCAATAATATCAGAAAGTTGTGCGGCCCATCTTTTGTTTCAGTTTCGCTCTGTCGCCTCTTACTATACTCACGGGATGATATGGGGTAGTGGATATTCTTAAAACGCCACTACTTGGCTACACCATCACTGCTTATAAAGTCCTCTGCTGCACATAAGCCTCTCCCTTAGTTGCCACGCTTATCAATCGGGTTGGTAGACGCAGTTTTTTATTCAACTGAATCACAAAAATATTGCCAATCTCCTGTTTCAGTTTACCCTATCGCCTCTTACTTCGCCCACTGAATGATATTAGGTGGTAGATATTCTTACACTACACGGTGATTATAGAATACCATTTATATTTTATATTATCAATTCGTAAGACTTCACGGGGGTTGTTTTTGGATCTTCAAAGTCCAATTGTGAATCTAAACCACCCAGGGACTGTTGAAACACACACAAAAACTTCATCAAAATCGATCCAGCCTTTCTCAAGTGAAGATGTTTCATACATGCGGCAAATGATTTTTATTTATCTAGATTTTCTTTTTGTCTACATTAAGGCTCTGGGTGACCGTCTGTTCGCGGCGGACGTGGGCAGGCTCACGCAGATGCACGCCGCGCGCTCCGGCCAGCCCACCTACCTATACCGTTACACCTACCGAGGACAACAGAGTCTCTCCAACATAATCGCCAAGAACGACAAAAATTATGGTAATAACTACGGGTTCAAACAATAAATGACGATACGGTACTTAAAAATGTGGACCAGAAAACTATCTAAGCACACTCATCCATTCCATCATTCATTTGCTCTAAGCGTAAGGATGTACGGGCGCATTACGTTTGTGTTTCACTCACACACACAACGGTAAATGAGTGTGCACGTATGCCAGACCAGGTGGTGGGATTTGTTTTCTGCCTTGCAGTAAGTCTAAGTTGGTCTAAGTATTTCTCCTCCCACCCTCTTACGTGTATCTGACGTTAAAGAGCAGTGTTGGACCCCTGTCAGTCAGAATTTTTTTTACCACACAGTCAATTTGAGGAAAACACCACTTACGGACAAATAGCGTAAATTATTTAGACTGAGAAATAGAAATTATCGACTTGCAACGATTATTTGCCTATTATTCGGTATTCGGCCTATGCAGTTACTTTTATCCTATTCGGTCGGATACCGAATATCTTGATACTATTCGGTCTTGGTATATTTTTTTACGTGGTAGAGCCACGCTGCAGCTATATTACGGTTGTAGCACAAATGGGTCGCCTTGACCGGGGAAGGACCACGCTCTCACAGGATACCAGCTTCTATATTATAAAAATAAAGAAAAAGAACAACTGTCCGATAAATATTTATGCACTCGTATTATCGTCATTAAAGTGGGGGATAATGATGCAGAAAGATTAAGTTTTCTTTATTTTCAAGCAGTAGCTTAATCCTTTTCTTCTCGTAGACAATTCCAGCTTAAGAGAATATACTCTCTGAAGAATAAACACTACTTCATTCGCAGCTGAACACTTTTGCCTAATATTTGGTTATTCGGCCAGGAACACCGCAGAATATTCGGTATTTGGCGTGTGCCTGAATATACTATTCATTGCAAGTGTAATTTAGACAATATTCTAGCTGGTACCTAGACCGGCTCGTCTGTCTCGTGGTCGTACAGACATCTCGCTCGTATTACGGTCAGAGTGTACGCTTTTTTCTGTTATTTCCTTACTATGATATGTAAGTTTATATTCCTAGTGCGCATAGTCTGGTTCAACTGAGTGTTAAATATGTACAACATTTCTCTAATATATTTTTGACACAGAGTTACTGAAGGGAAGGAAATGGCTCCAGAAATACAGGATATCCTAGTTTGGGAGGCAGGGCGCAATGATGTTGTATAAAATAGAAATGTCAAATAAAGATATTATTATTATTACTATAGTCTGGTTCAATGTTCGGGCATACCGTATCTTTACATTGTTTTTATGCATGGTGTAACTCATACTTATACGAACCGTGATTGCGCATGTAGGGTCTAAATTTCACAGTGACAAAGTTTTCGATCCTCTCCGCAACTTACCATGTGCATGGCAAAGTCAACATGAGCAAACTACATCTAAGGAATAATACATTATGTCTATTGGTGGCGAAGCCTACATAGAAGCCCAGAAGTCGGGCTTGCCATATCAAACTGCTCAATCAATAATATCAACTAATAAAATAACTCGTAAACTGTTTCAAACTATTTCAAATTTCCCGCTTGTTCCTTTGTTCTAGACAGGTCATGACCTCGTAGCATATATGTAACGTCAACACTTGGAAGTTTGCTTTCAATTCGAAATATACTAATTCGTGTTCTCTCTGTCTCGAAGCGAACACGTAATGGACTGTCAAAATTAAGGAGTTGATTTATTCGTGTCTCTTGCACGCGTTGGCTTTTTACCGGGCTTTCGAGAAGACGATTGCTCTCTTTCTAACCTGTGGCAAAATGTTCTATAATGAAATATAACTACGAAATGTTTATAAAGAAATTACTATGGAACCAAAAGCTGGGCTTTGCTCTAAAGTTGTTTAGGAGCGCACGGGCGTGCGGACGATACGTTGGCAAGTTTCACTTCACATTTCAATGTTTAGGTTAGGTTTTAGATTTAAAGAGTTTATTATCTGAATAAAGAACAAATATTCACTTATATGAGACTTAAAAATAACATAATTGGTAAAAATAATACATTTAAATACGGTGACTTATATGAATAAAGTTACATAAATATATCAAAATTAGGATTAAAAAAGCACTGTCTTTAAATTAACGTTTGACAGTGCTTTTTTAATTTATCTTTAAATTTTGAAAACGACTTTTCATGAAATACCTCATTCGGTAGGCTATTGTACAATAGCGCTCCCTCAAATTGAATAGTTTTCGAAACGTAAGTTTTAGTCCTAGCTTTTGGTAATTGAAGTTTATATTTGATTCGTGTACAGTGTTTATGTGATTTTGTTTTAAAACTAATTGGGGTGTGTATGGAGTCTAAGAGAATTTTTCAGACTAGTATGCATGTTTTGTATTTGTATAATTGACTTATGGATAATGCATCAGTTTTTTTATAGAGCTCTTTAGTAGGCAAGCGGTAGTCAAGTTGGAATAAAACTTTTGAAGATCCTTTATATTAGTTTTAGAGGCACTTCCCTATATCTCTATTAAATATTCTAGTAATGACTTAGCTAGTGAATTATAAATAATATTTCGAACTTTATAAGGTATAAAACGTGTAGATCTGCGCAAAACTCCTGTCAGTGATGTTATTGTTAATCTAAATGAGCTCGCCATGTTAATTTTGAATCTAAACCGAGACCAAGATATTTTTCTGATTCTGACTTTTTAAGTTCTTGGTTATTTATTGTTAAGGGATCGAATTTAGAAACGTTTTTGTTTTTCGCCGTGAAAACCATGTAAGAAGTTTTGGCTACATTTATAGTGAGCAAACTGTACCGTAACTATTCACTCAGTGTATTTAGATCAGTTTGTGCATCCGATATAATCTCTTGAATTGAATCTCCAAAATAAAATAAACATGTATCATCAGCGTATAAAGATACTTCTCCCGTCAATGCAAGGTTTCCGATGTCGTTTATAGTAGTAGTAGGTCCAGGATCCATTCTTGGTCCTTTGTTATTTTTAACAGAGGACCAAGAATGGATCCCTGTGGAATACCACAGGTGATATCACATGGATTACTTTAAAATTTTTTGATTTTCACTATTTGTTGTCGACTTTTCAGGTAAGATTCAAGAAACTTTAAAGCTGATCCAGATACACCAATGTTTTATAATTTATTGACCAAGATAGAGTGTGAGACGGTGTCGAATGACTTCTTCTAATCAATGAATATACCTACAACTATCTTTTTTGACCAATTTTAGTTTTTATTTTGGTAATTAGATCGATTGTAGCCGAAAGAGTATTTAATCTGGTGCGAAAGCCGTACTAGCCTTTACAAAGAACATTTGTTTCTGATAGATAATTATTTAAACTTACATATATAATAATATATAAGGCCTATGTTCAGCAGTGGACTTGTGAAGGGCTGTAATGATGATGATGATGACATATATAATCCGCTCAAATACTTTTGATAATACGGGCAAAACCGATATGGGGCGATAATTCCCAGGGTCAGATTTAGAGCCAGCTTTGTGAATAGGAAGAACTAACTTTAGCTAATTTCAGGCATCTGGAAATACACCATCTCTCATACATTTATTGATACATAAACATAAATTATCACTTATTAAGTCATTAACACACTTTATTGCTTTGGGCGTTATACCATCTATACCTGAACTTGCATTATTATTTAAGTTTTTGATTATTGTTCGTATTTCATCTTTTGTACATATTTTAAATTCTGAGAGGTAGGTGTGCATATGTGATTTAATATATGCTATATTATTATGATATTTCTGCTGTATATCGTTTGCTAAAATTATAATTATTGAAGAAAAGTAGGTATTAAAAGTTTCACACACCTCTGTTCGATCGTGAATGGTTTTACCGTTTACTATAAGCTTTGGAGAAGCAGAATCACTTTTTATTTTATTTGATGCAAAGTTATAATTTAATTATATATAAAATTAGTTTTTAATTTTTTTTTGGGTTCGTTATAGCATTTAACAAAGGCAGATTAGTAAAACTTATCCTTAGTGTCTCTAATAGTACATGTAACTTTGTTTCTCACATTATTAAAATAATTCTTTAATTCAACATTATTAGTATCTGTCTTGTTTTACATTTTCCCACAGCATATTGTGTTTTCTAATTCCGTTCAATATCTGTTTGTTTATCCAGTCGTCTTGTAGTAGATATTTTATTTTGTATTTTGTATTTTGTATTTAATGGTTTTCAATACTGTCTTTAATGAAACTTTCCAATTTAATGTAGTCGTAATCTATCATCTGAAGATTATTTTTAGCCATATCCTTGTAGAGATTATCATAATTTATTGCAGCATACTTAATTTTTCTGTTTTTATGTTTGTTTTTGTAGTGTCTGTTGAAAATTTATGCTTTTTCAAAGATTTTAGTGAAAATGGGAGGATAATAGTGTACTTTGTGATGAATATAAGTGTGTTAAAGTGCTAATGGGCGAGGAAAAGGTAAAATCTTCAAAAATGAAATTTTAATTTAATAAACATTTCTTCATACTTTAAGAGTCTCTTTGGTATTAAAGTTTCATTAAACTAGGCGTATTTAGAGGTTTAATAATTCAATACTTATATTACCATATGAGTTAAAAATATCATTTTGAACGGCGGCATAAAATATGAGATACCTAATTATAACTTTAATTTTATAGCAAATAATTGTTACAATCTTTTTTTAATGTGAAGCCTAAATTTTAATGTAACAAATCAAAAGGTTTTTAAAGAACATTTACTTTAGTACATAAAATTTTAATAGCGCCATCTACTTAATTCTATAAATGAAGTCATTTTATCGAAAAATTGATTGATTCTCACGGTGGTACGTAAAGATTACGTAAGATTGCACAAACACGCTATATCGCCTAATTTAATATTTATATTACCATATGAGTTTAAAATATCATTTTGTACGGTTTATTAAAATATAAAATGAATAATTATACAATAAGCAATCATTATTTTATGGTAAAAAACTTTGTAAAGCTTTATCTTTTCACTATACCATATCTAATTCCTGTCGTAATATGTTCTTCTATGCATATAACTTAAACAAAATAATTTCGATGTTTCACATTTGCTAGACGTCCTTTTTAATTTTGTACATAGTTTGTTTCTACTTTATTCGTGCTTTTCTTTTGTTCATGTATTGTTTTGTGTGTAAATATATTTTTCTTTCGCTCAAGCAAACCCTAACGGCTCTTTTCGAAGCCACCGAAGGTATGCAATTGCTGATATGTCATACAGTTTATCTAGCGGTAGTATGTTTTCTGTCTGCTTTGTTAAGCACGTCCTTGACAGCACTTAATATGAAACTGAAGAGTGGAGACAGATCAAAATTGGTGTGTTTTTATTAAACTGCTAAAAACAACAAAACCATATCTTGGGCTTGCCCTAGATTTGGAGCCCTAGCTTCACCACTGATGTCTGTTATCCACCTCTTTGGCTCGTAGCCACTTATGTTTATCCTTGATTAAGAATTAAAATGCAGGAGTGTTGTCACTCCTGAGGATTCGTTGCCAGAAAAAAGGATCTCCAGATGTTGCCACTCACCTATTAAACGCTGATATTCTGTGAGAGCGTGGTTGTACTCCGGTCGAATAGACCTATTCGTTCTGCAGCGTGGCTCAACCACGTTAATCAATATTTCGAAAATACGTGAGCTCCACTTTCAATGAAACAGCGTAGCGGACTATTTATTTCATCATCGTCGTCATCATTACAGCCCTTTACAAGTCCAATGCTGATCATACGCCTCGCCCAAGGAATTCTACAAACCACGGTCATGAGCCACTTGCATCTATCCACTTCCTGCATATCTTACCAAGTCATCACTCCATCTATAGGGGGACGCTCCACTCTCGTAATATGGCAGAGTTAAAGCACAGCAGCTATATAGTTCGCCAATGTTCACCATGAGACAAGACCCATGTCTAAATAAAAACTACTGAGAAAAATAACACGAACAACAAAAAATCGTCCATTGATTGACTTATTCATTTAATAATAAGGAGCTTTAACATGATGTTTACTTCTTTTCTTCTTGCACACACAGGCGTAAGTCATGCAGACGATATACTACTGATCTTCAGCTTCGACTCCAACACTCCCGCCGATGTGCAAATGCGCGAAAAACTACTTGACTTGATCTACAGTTACGCCGCTACAGGGTAAATATTTAAAAAAATTATCTAATAATTTACATTTACATATTTGTCTGCGACAAGAGAATTACGATGACAATTGATTGAAAGAAGATTTGTAGGCGATACATCAATACATTTCGTTTATACTCGCGCAGATAAGGGAAATGCCACGGTTGTCATGGATTCGTCCGATTATAATTTTCCCTTTTTTTCTTCTTTTTTAATTCCAAAATACTAGAACTTTTGTCGGATGTAAGCACTTATAAAAATGTTAAAAACAATCCAACAAATAACACACTTGAAACAGCTAGAAATATATAAACACTCCGAAAAATTAAATCTGGACGTAAAATCAAAAATACCTACATGTGACAAACCACCGAAGTTTTATGGGTTAAAAAATACACAAGCCCAATGCTCCACTACGTTACATAGTGAACTAAATAGATTCACCTACTTACAGATTAGCTCAACACTTAACAAAAATACTCTCACCGCTCAGTTGATAAACAAGAGCACACATAAAGCATTCCTACCATTTTGTCAGCGAGATTAAAGACCTACCTACATCTGGTAGACAATGAAAATATGGTCAGTTTTGATGTGAAGTCACTGTTTACATGCTTATATTTTACGTGGTAGAGCCACGCTGCAGCTATATTATGGTTGTAGCGTGAATGGGGCGGCTCGACCAGGGAAGGACCACGCTCTCACAGAAAACCAGCGTAAAATAGCAGCTTAATGCTGTGTTTCGTATGGTGAGTGTAGAGAACCGGAGACCCGTTTTACTGGGATCGCATCTACATTTTGATTCTAAATCGGATGTAGATGTCTATGGGCCACAGCATACACTTACTATCAGGTGGACTGTGTGCTCGTTTGTCACCCTTATCCTATAAAAAATCTGATGAAGACTACATCTCAATTGTAACTAGAAGGTTGGAAGAAAACAAAATGCCCGTAAAATATGCAGTATTACTCAGATACTGCCTTACATCTGGCTACCTATTGTAGAAGGAGGAATTCTACAAGCAAGTAGATGGTGTGGCGATTGGCTCACCTGTATCTCCCATTGTCGCCGAGATATTCATGGAAGACTTTGAGGAGAAAGCCCTGCTTACTTCTCCCGTAAATCAAAGATTCTACAAGTACGTAGTCGTAGATCACACTTTCACAATGCTACCTTTAGGTAAAGTAACTGCATTTTTAGACCATCTCTATATTTTTTTTGAATTTTAGAATTCATAACTCTATAAATTCTAAAATTCAGTTCGCAATGGAGTTGAGGCAAACAATTCTTTAGCTTTTCTAGATGTGTATATTAAAAAAGAACCATACATATATATATTTAAACGGTAATTCTCATCACCATCATAGTTAGCTACCGTGGATAAATCACAGTCAAAAGATGAAGTCAAAAGACAGTAAACATCTGGCTCCCAAGCTCCAACACGTCAAGCAAGTTTTGCATGACAACAAGCTTCGGGTCCCGTGCCTACGTCACAGTGAACGAGTGAAGCCGGCCACAGTCGAGAGTGTACCTACTGTATTGCCATATGTCAGAGGAGTCACTGACAAGATTGGTGACATCTTGAAACGTGGTTCCATTAAAATATACTTCAAGCCGCCGAAGGAGATTAGTCAGTTTTTACCATCAGTCAAGTGTAATGTCCCTCTGCAAGATGCAGGAGTGTACAAGCTTGATTGTGAATGTGGTCTCTCCTACATAGGACAAACTAAAAGATCAATTAAAGCCCGCGTTAAAGAACATATAGTTGATGTGAAGAATGGACGCTCCGGGAAGTCTGCAGTCTGTGAACACGTACAGGATCGCCCCCGTCAATACAACAGATTTGATTTAGTTGCACCGAAATATCTGGCTACAGATGCTAGTAGAATTATTGTTGTAAAATAAAAGGTTAGCCAGTCAATTAAATGCCGGCATTTAAGAAAAGGGCTAGCTTTCCAATTAACGAGCTGAATAAATCATCCTTACTGCGACATTTAATATATTATATTTGTATTCGATGTGGATTCGATATGGTCCATGGAATAAGTTTTTTTGCTTTCGTAATTAATATTTTTTATTAATATATTAATAAAAAAATTAATATTATCGCTTATGATTTTGTTTCTTTGTTTAATTTCCAGCACCCCGAAAATTCCTAACGGCCAGCAGTGGACGCCGGTAGTCCCTGGTTCCCAAGAACTGAATTACTTGGAGATTGCTTCACCCACTGAATTCGTGATGAAGACGAGCTCCGATTTCGGACACAGATCGTTCTGGGACAAACTGGGTTTTATTGAGAACGAAAATTTTATCTAAGTATGCACATATTGTTTGTTTATAAATTTATATATAATCTTATACAACAAAAACTAATGCAGTATATTTTCAACTTACTTTTATACTTATGTACTTTGATTCCTGTTATTTTGTATAATTGTAGTTGTAGATAATACTTTCTTAATTAAAAACCTTATTTGTTTATCATTCTTTATTTTCCTTATTTTTTACATATTTTAAATTACAATTTTTTGAATTTGAATTTCGCCTGCCTCGTTGGTCTAGCGGTCGATTGATAATCTTGAGGTCCCGAGTTCTAATCCCGGGTCAGACCAAAATCAGTTGTTAGGTTTTTCTGTTAAGAAATTCTCAGTAAGGGCCCGAAGTCAGGAAGTTTGTGGTGTTTCACCTATGCCTCGGAAAACACGTAAAGCCATTGATCCTTCGTCTGATCTCTCTCCGGTCATTTCGGATTACCGTGCCATCGGACTATGAGAGTGAGGGAATAGGGAATGCACTCGTGCACCGTAATAATATATAAATTATAATAATATATAAACTTTTTCAATGGAAAGTATTTTCACTGGTTCCGGCAAAAACAATGCCTGTCTATGCACAAATGTCGTATAGATTCTATTTTTGACATGTATTAGTTGATTGTGAGTGCACATTAAAATAATATGATTAAAGTCAAGATGACTAAGGGATAATATGTCTATTTATATTTATAATATTACCAACACACGATAAGAAATATGTTTTAAACTGGTTGTATTACAAAAAACAAAATATAACGTAACTCTATTCAATATTGTAAATCATAATTTCTAAAGTACATATTCTATTAATACAGTCAATTAGTATTATTCTATATAATTCTATATAGATATTCTATATAGTATTACTAGCTTGCCAGGCAGACGTTGTTCTGCCCTTTTCGACGACCCTTTGTCATATCCTATTAAAAATCCTTAAATTCGAAAAAAAATAAATAGTGGGTCACTCATGGGCAAAAAACTATCCTATCTCTCAAGTTGGACCAAACTGCACACGGTGTGCAAATTTGAACAAAATCGATTAAGTAGTTTAGGAGTCCATTGCTGACAAACGAAGTGACACGTAATTTATATATATTAAAATATATTCTATAGGTTACAAATAATACTTATTGTCACTTTTTTTATTTACCACTGGTTCGGAAAAAACCTCTGTCTTGGGGGAACCAGCAAGAAATCCAGTGAGAATATTATTTTTAAAATAACAACTTAAAATCATGTATGTTACAATTCACAACACAGAACAAATTAGAAATAACTTGTTAGCGATCACCTCACCCAGGGATTATTATCATCCATAAAGTTTTTGAACTTTGATGACTGATTGAGATAGACAGACAGGAGCGGTGTCAAGACTTTGTTTTGACCGTCGAACCAAGAATTTGTTTTGGTAGATTAGTAAGTACTTATACATCATAATAAAATGACTGGGTATTAACATATCAAAATTACTTGGTAACATCATGCTTATTTATGTTTATTACACACTGATAGATAGTGAGGAAGTAAGATGTTTTAAACAATTTGTGTATGGATTACGAAAATATAGGTATAATTTTATTTTATTTATTACTAGCGATCCGCTTCGACTTCGCACTGGTGATTTATGGATCTCGACAACAGCGCCATCTACCGGGTTCAAATGTAAATATAAACCATCTAGGGATCCATTCAAACACACACAAAAATTTTCATTAAAATTGGTCAGATGGTTTCAAGGACTATAACGGACATAGGTAGAAACATTTTTGTTGATCAAATACAGAAGCCGTAATTATTGATTAACATCAACAATATTTGACTATGTAAAAGTTGTCTCACATTTTATTTTCACTGGTTTCATGTAGGAGAAAAATATATTATTTTTATATTAACCAATCACGTCCCGATAGTGTATTGGACTAATTAATCAGACCTATGGTCAAGCCAAAGAGTATAGTTGGTTAGGCCAACGACAATATTTTTTTATCGCACTTTATTACACTGTAACAAGGTACGTGTAAGTTAGATGAATAACTAATATTATTTTTAGAAAATTGTATTGATATCCAACGCCCATGAAAATCTGACAATAACAACGAACTACATGCAAGTATACCGATACAAAAATAATCAGAAATCAAAATATGTAATAAATAAATAAAAATCAATCATAGGTATACTATAATTTATTGCGCTATCTTTGACCAATGCTATTTTTATTGAAAACAACTTTGTCGTAATATTCACGATATTTCGGAATTATAACACAAAAAGTAATTTTCGTACATTTGACCTTGTAGAATATAAAAATTTGTGTTTTTTTAATATGATTTATAGTGAAAACTGCGCGAGCACTTCTTATTAGTTTGTGATGAAAACTAACGCCTTACATTTCATTTTAGTTACTCCTGACTACTTTATTTCTTACGTGAACGACACGGTATTAGAAATGCCAATTTTATAAATTGTTACGAGACAAAATATAGGCAAGTACAGCCAGTGCGCGTTACCAGTAATTACTTATATATGACTTATATAATACTCTGAGTACTAAAAAGCTCAAGGTTGCTCAGCGAGCTATGGAGAGGTCTATGCTCAGAGTTTCTCTGCGTGAGAGACTTAGAAATGAGGATATCCGCAGTAGAACCAGAGTAATTAGTCCATAGTTGCCGATGTCATATTTATTCCCTTTCTTATAAGGGAGAATGATATGTGATCAATTCCATTATCTATCAATAACAACAATAATATCATTAAATAACTTCGTTAGGATTGGGCTTATTTCTTCTTCGGTGCCTCTGATTAGCTCATTTGTCATATAAAAGACACTAAAATATTCTTTTAATTCATTGAAAGCTTTTCTTGTTGCCCCTGTTCTTTGGATTTCATCTTCTAGTTTTTTCATACTTCTACTATTTCCTATCATTACTTATATATTTTTCGAATCAGTTTTTGATTTGTCTGTCATCGGTGCTTTTCTTTCTTCTAAGAGCTCTATTGTATTCTCACCAAACTTCACATCTTTGGTTACATTTACTTTCCTCAATTTTAATAGTTGTTTGTCCATGTAATCGTATTTTTCTGTGACATCTTCTGGAGTTTATATTTCTTGTGTTGATGAACGAAAAATCTATTTTTTTTCTTTGTGTTGTTCTAATGTCCATTTATTTTTAATTTTATTTCTACCTCTTTTGGTGGACTCTTTTTTTAAACGACACCGTACCAGGTGGTGGTTCATATTAAAATTTGAATAATGTGTGTATATTAGAAAAACGTTGGTATATTAGTTATTATGAAATCGATTTTATTTTTATATTTGCCATCAGGTGATATCCAGGTCCACTTGGTTTCGGTTTTTTAGACACTTAATTGAGTAATCGCCTCCGCAGCTTCGGCTTATTAGTCGCCTTCGGGGACCAGCCTCAGCCCCTACGGCTCACTTAGGTGCCTGCGAGTTGCTACGCAAGGGCGAAGGGGCTGCACTTCCCGCAGTGCCGAAGCCGTTGCAGAAGTAACCCTGCGTCAATATTCCTGTATAAAAAAGTGAGGTATGATTCTACAAAAAAAATATTACTTATAAACTATACATTTCCGCAACGGGGGAAGGGTAGGAGGGGCTTCCCATCCCATAACTTTGTGTCAATATTCTTTTTTTTTTATAGATTAGGGTGACAAACGAGCACACAGTCCACCTGATGGTAAGTGGTCGCTGCGGCCCATGGACATCTACATCTATCCTCCATTACAAATCAAAATGCAGATGCGTCGTCACCCGTGAGGACTGAGATGGAATGCCTCGTTTCCAGTAAAAAGGGTCTCCGGTTCTCTACACTCACCATACGAAATACAGCAGCATTAAGGGGAAATATAACCTCAAATGGCTTAGCAAGATCCTCCGTTATGCCGAAAGTATTGCAGCATTCATTTTGAAATAAATATATGGTAAAGTTGAGGATTAATGTTAAGGTTTATGTTAGACGAAAATACGACTCCGTAAAATTTTCTCGATAGAAAAAAATCCAAAGTTACCTCCAAACTGAACAATAAACTGCTGTTATTCATAAAATACTTTAAATAAGATCATGAAACTTTGCATACTAACTGAACTAACCATAAAGCAGTGCTTATGTTATTTACTTTTTTTAAAATATCATTATTTTCACTGTAAAAAAGAAATTACCTAAACTATCGACGGGTAAGCTTGGTTCCTGCGGAGCGACAGGATTTTACGGAATCGTGTTTTCGTCTAACATAAACCTCAACATTAATCCTCAACTTTACCATATATTTATTTCAAAATTAATTCTGCAATACTTTCGGCATAACGGAGGATCTTGCTAAGCCATTTGAGGTTATATTTCCCCTTAAGCTACTATTTTACGCTGGTATTCTGTGAGAGCGTGGTCCTTCCCCGGTCGAGCCGACCCATTCGTGCTACAACTATACTATTAATATAACTGCAGCATGGCTCTACCACCTACAATATTTAATACAATATCAATATTCCTGTATAAAACACTTTTTTATACAGGAATATTGACATAAAGTTATAATTTTACAAAAAAATTACTACTCATAAACTATACATTTCCGCAATGGGGGAAGGGTAGTGAGGGCTTCCCACGATCCCTCCCCCTCCCCCCTCCCCCAACACCGTACGCGAGTACCGGACGTCTATAGTTTAACCGACGTTCTTCATCACGGTCTAAAGTTGAAATGGCGATGGGCAGGACATTTGGCACGCATTCCAGATCAAAGGTGGACAAAATCGGTGACAGAGTGGCGAGGTGTAGCTAGAACACGTGCCGAAGGCAAGCCAAAAAAAAATATGGGTTGATGAGGTGTTGGTTACTGCGGGGAAAAACCGGATGTAAAGGGCACAGTAAAGACGGATATGGAAAGGTCTGGAGGAGGCCTTTACCCGAAGGAGTGGTCCTCAAATATCAGGCAAATTTTGTTTAAAGAAAATAGTAATGATATAAATCTGTGAAATAAAATTAT